AGGAGATGATGTTGAGGGAAAAGCAGAAGCAAGGTCTAAAGAGGATGTTTGAATAAAAAAATGTCAGTTTTATAACTTTACCTAAGATCCTACCTAGCTAGAGACAAATTTCTATCATAAGTTCTTGTCACTGTTGAAAACTGATCCTAATTTAGTTGTCAGCTTAGTTCATAACAAGGTCTTTACTTTGGTCCAGTATTTGACAGATTCCCACTGAAAAGAGAAGGGTTTGGAAAATGTATGAGAAATTTCCTATACTTTCCCTTCAGGCCATTATCATGTCTGTTTACTGCTTCAATTTCTACTTCCCTCCCAGGGAGACTATCTCTTGTAATATGGACAAGCACCCTATTTTGGCTGTCCTTGTGGAACCTTCACAAATAAGAAATTCTATTCTTTAGGTACACGGCTGTGACAATAGGATGTATGTTATCTTCAACTTCAACTTGTTATCTTTTAACAAGGTTTCTAGACATGGAAGAACATAGCATTGACGTCACTGCCTTTGCGGAGTTCTAATCACTTCAGTCTCCAGCAAGGAATGCAGTGTGGTATTTTTTTCCACATGGATCACCTTGTATGGGCTTCCACACAAAAGGAAACTCAATAAATAGTGCTGAATAACAGGCTGAAAATAGTATACTGACCTGTCAATGAGTAAAGCTAGATCAGTGAGGGCACAAATACAGGGCAAAGCAGGTCATGGCCAATGCAAAATCATGGGTAAAGTGAATTTAAAAAAATGTGGTACAAAATAGATTTAATGTATGGCTTTAAGTTAAAACCACCTAATATTTAGAAACAAATGGAATGGACAAGATGGCGGAGGAGTGAGTGGAAGTCACACTGACCTCTTCCCAGGACCAACCTGGAATTACAACTAAATGGTGGAAAAATCACCTGGAACAAACAACTGAACAACAGCGAGAGAGGAGTCTTGTAACTTCGGAGACAGAAGAATCGGCTTTAGTGCAATCTAACTGGTAAGGAGTACGGCAGACACTCGAGAAGGTGGGCGGGGCACCCACAGGCAGCAGCACCAGAAGGATACTGAAACGGCCGGTTGGATCCCCCTGAGAAAAGTGGGGTCTAAACCAAAAGCTGGGATCTCAAGCCCACAGCACCAGAGCCCAAAAAGTACACAGAAAACAGCCAGCTGCGAAAAGTGGCAGGGTTGCTCTCTGCCAGAGACAGGCAGCTGGAGACGCAAAGAACTGTTTAAAGGGCCAATGCATAAATTTTTATTTGCAGCCACTTACCCTGGTCTCTGGCAAAGGCGGGGGCACAGTGGGCCAGAGACACCTGAGGAGACACTGGGGAAGGGGGCTTTGGGGAGAGAACTGAGAGGGAAGCCGGTGGGATCCCGATGCTGAGTCATCCCCTACGCGGCAGCAGACATTTTGGACAGGCAGAGACCACGCCCCCTGAGTGGCACCAGCGTCAAAGGACCCAATAGCCCCACCCCCAGGTGGGATTCCACCCCGCCCTGTGCTGCCTAAGCTGCCTGCTGAGTGCAGAGTGGCAGCCACAGACAGTAGATTTCTGGCTAAAGGGGGCGCAGAGAGGTCTGGCAACAATTGAGGAGAGACTGGGGACAGAGGCTTTGGGAGAGAACAGAGAGAGTAGCCAGCAGGATCCCAGTGAGGACTCCTCCCCCATACGGCAGCAGCCTGAGATGATGCAATAATCCGGCCCCGAGTAGGGACTCTGCCCCGCCCTGAGCTGTCTAGGGCGCCCTGCTGAGTGCAGAGTGAATAGATTAACAGCTGAAGGAGAAAGCCAAAAACAGTAGATTCCTGGAAGTCTCAAACAGACTGCCTAAGGTCAGATAGGGACAATATCTGACATCATCAGAGGCAGATCCAGAAAGTAAAAACAGCAGTCTCCAACCATAGACGTTCACACCACAAAGTCAGGATTATCAAAAAGATCAACTTAAGGAGAAGCAAAAGAGAAGAGTCTCACAAATAATGGGAAGACAAATAAATATGCCCCATGTGAAAGGAAAGGAGTAATCCCCAGAAAGAGAACTAAATGAAGTAGGGGCAAGTTAACAATCAGGTATTGAATTCCAAACAATGGTTCTAAGGAAGCTCAATGAGCTCAGTGAGCTCACAGAGAATTACAAAAAACTAGAGGGAAACTATGAGGAACTTACTGCAAACTATATCAGCATGAAAAAAGGACATAGAAACCGTCAACAAAAGACAAGAGGAAATGAAGAATACAATTTCTGAATTGAAGAACACAGAAGAAGGAATCAAAAGCAGGCTAGATGAAGCTGAGGGCCGAATCAGAGAGCTGGAGGACAAGGTAGAAAAAAGCTCCCAGAAAGAGCAAGGAAACAAAAAAAGACTCAAAAAGAATGAAGAGGCATTTAGGGAAATGCAGGACAACCTGAAACATAATAATATCCGTATAATAGGGATACCAGAAGGAGAAGAGGATGAGGAAGGGATAGAGAACCTGTTTGAAAAGGTAATGATGGAAAACTTCCCTAACTGGAGGAGAGGAAAAGTCACACAAGTTCAGGAAGCACAGAGGGTCCCATTCATGAGGAACCCAATGAGGCCCACTCCAAGACACATCATCATTAAAATGGCAAATATCAAAGACAAACAGAATCATAAAGCAAGCAAGGGAAAAAGGTAGTAACATATAAGGGAGCCCAAATACGGCTAGCATCTGACTTCTCAACAGAAACACTACAAGCCAGAAGGGGATGGCAAGAAATATTCCAAGTCATCAAAAGCAAAGGCCTGCAACCAAAACTGCTCTTACCCAACAAGGTTCTCATTTAAAATGGAAGGTGAAATAAGGAGTTTCCCCAGACAAAAGAAGGCTAAAAGAATATACTTCCACCAAACCAGCAATGCAAAATATGCTAAAGGGACTGCTTTAAGATACAGAAAAGGTTTCTATGAATACCCAGTTTCTTTCAGAGTTGCCAATACTTGATATTACCACTATTTTTAATACTCATTAATCTGATTGTGACAATGATGTTATTTTAATTGTTCCTTTACTATTTGTTGAAACTAAACCTGTTTTAGTATATTCCTTACCTATCTGTATGATTTTTTAAAGGAAAAATAGCTTTAAATAACTTTTTGGTATTTTTTATCCATTTATTGATTAAAGGTTTGTATAACTTTTTTCCCTAAATAAACAAACAAAACAACCTATTAACCATGTTTTAGATGTGTTGCAAATACTCTTCTATCCTATTCCTTGTCTTTTAACTTTTTTTATATGTATATTACTATATCATTAAATGTTTAATATAGTCATATCATCAATATTTACTTTATAGCTTCTCGGTTTGAATATTTTCTTCAGGTCATGAAAAATATTAGTTCTATTTTCTTCTGAAACTCCTTAGATTCTACATATTGATTTTTAACTCACCTGAATATTTCTTGTGTAATGTGTGAAATAGGTCTCTATATTTGTTTTATTTCAAGTAATAGTGGTCCATGTGCCTTATTTATTGAATAAGCCTTATTTTACCCATTGATTTGTAATATCAACTTAATCATATATTATATTGTTAGATATATGTTTGTCTCTAGAATGCTCATTATATTTCATTGATCTACTTGATTATTTCTGTGCTGGTGTCATGCTGGTTTAATTGCTGAGACTTTATAATGGTTTTAAATTTTTTAAATATTTTATAATTAACTTTGACATTTTAAAAAATAAATAAAATCAATCTGCATTTACGAAAGAAAGAGAGAGATGGAACTCCTACCTTTTGCGACAACATGGATAGAACTAAAGAATATTAAGCCAAGTGAAATAAGCCAGTTGATGAAAGACAAATACCACATGATCTCACCCATAAGTGGATTCTATTCAACAAAATAAACTAACGAACAAAATAAACCACAGGCACAGAGACATGGAGCAGACTGAAAGTGACCAGAGGGGATGGGGAAAGAGGACAATGGTGGAAAGGAGAACGGACTAGATAAAGAACATGTATGAATGACCCGTGGAAATGGGTAACAGAGTGGGAATTGACTGTGGGAGTGGGGGGTCGGGGTGTGATGGGTGGAAGGGGGGCAAAGGGGTAAAAACTAAGACAACTGTAATAGAATAAACCTGATTTATTTAAAAAAACAAATGCATTGTTCTGTGAATGTCATCATTCAAAAACATATTAAAAAATGAATGATTTAAAAAAAAAAATCCTCTCCGGGGGTATGTTTATTGGTTTTTGGAGAGAGGAAGGGGAAGAGAGGGTGGGGGCAGTGATAGAGAGATGTGAGAGAGAGGCATCGATTGGTTGACTTCTGTACATGTCCTAACTGGGGATCAAACCTACAACTTATGTATGTGCCCTGACCGAGAATTAAACCCACAATCTTGTTGGTATACAGGATGACACTCCAACCAACTGAGCCACCCAGCCAGGGCAAAAATGACTGATATTTAGTAAGCTCAAACATCATACAAATTGCTTGACAAAAAACAGCCAAGTATTGTCTGCCAAAAATATGTTTTTGAATATCTGAGTAGGACTGGAAAGGCAGAGATGCAGCTCTAGCTACACTACCTCAGGAACTGTCTCTCCTCTTATTGGACAAATGGCTGCTTCTGGGTACCTTTTGACTGAGTGAGGGAAGACCACTCAGAGAGATGTAGCCCTACTCTGCTGGGGTCCCTGTATGATGTGAGAGAGCAGAATTTCCATAGTAATTTCACAGGACATATAACCTCAAATTTGGTTACACACACACACACACACACACACACACACACACACACTTTTCCTGATGTAGGACATGCTTATTTCCATTGTTACTTCTAAAAAATATTTGAGGCAGGACACAACATTACTTTGCTACAAAGTAAACTTGTAACATAAAACATATCTCGTTACAAAAAAAAAAAAGGATACTTAAATTTTTCTGTATTTACTTGCTTACTAATAGACCAATCGTTTATTAACAAGATATCAACTTTGGAGACTCTTAAGTTAAATTTAATATTACCTTTAAAGATTGTCTCTTAGTCACATAATTCTCAGACTGAAGCAATTTCTCATAGTCTTCAAAAATCTAATGAAAAGAAAATAAATATTACAGTGTAAAACCAACAGTGATTTCTCGGCATTAGGTTTGCTTCCCTTCTTGCTTCAGCCTGAGCCCAGTGCAGTCCAAATGCTGTTCTTGGTATCTCTATGTGCTTAACCCTAGACTGATCACCACTGTCCATTGGAGGCTTCTCCTTTTACCATCCTCATTTACTCATAAAGACACTGGGGAGTAGGAATGTCAAATGATTAAAAAAAAAAACAACTCTTTTATTTTAGTTCTACAAATTAGAAATAGAGTAGGAAAATGTAGTAATGGAGTATTCACAGTAAGTCATTTTGAATAAAACATGTATTGAGTTGTAAGACAACTCATTTTATGCTATATTAAAGAAACCTGTTTTTGTAGACTTCCTGGTAGCTATTAGTCTATGAATAATTTGAGAAAGATTAAGTACATTTAATCTTTGCCAGGGTTTCACCTGGCAACTCATAAATAATAAAATTGTCAAATTCATAACATGAACAGGTGAGGAGTAGGGCTACTTTTGCCACATGATGACAATGCTAATCCCAACTGGCCTCTTTGGAACACTTCTATTCTCCCCAGAAGCTGGGGCACACTGTGCTTGGAGCCCCAGTTTCCTAATTATCGTTAATCATTGCTTAACCCTTCAGCTCAATTCAGAGAGCCAGTAGCTGGGGAAGCTCACTATCAACCTCCTACCATGCATGGACACACTGAAAGATTACTAAGCTGGAAAAGCAAGACCAGCAGAGAACTGAAAGAGTGTTCAGAGGCTCAAAAAGTACAAAACAGTCCTGCTCTTCTGGAGGCCAAGTGCGAGATGTGTGTGCATGTGTGTGATGAGGGCAAGCTGTGCATAATGATGATAAATTACTAAGAAAGAATTAAGAAAGTGAGAAGTAAAAACAGAAACATGTAGCTCACATTAAAGTCACAGTAATTATACTGTTTTGTATGATAAACTTACTCTAATTGTCATGAAATACAAAAAGGATTTTGTAGGTCATTAAGTTTATCAGAAAAACTTTGTGGTTTTAATTGCAACTATAAATGCGAAAACATGTATAAGGTATGATCTGACTTCTGAAGCTACTAGTTTCATTATTTTAGAGTCATATATCATGTGCTCCAGTTTAGCGGTTTATTGCTAAAAAAAAGAAGAAAAAAAAAAAGAAGCCCAAGAAGTATGAAATGTTTGAGGGAACATAAGTTCTCAGAGCCAGTGTTCAGGTCAATGCAACTGGCTCAGTGTCTGTGAAACTATTAAATCACACAAGAATTGACTATAAATAGAAGACAAAATTAGATAAATAAAGAGTTCAAAGAGAATGACTTCATGGTCTCTCAGATTGTTGTGTATTATCCCTGATTTCAAAGCATTATTCCACATTACCTCACTCATTCTCTAGAAAATAAAAAAGTAAAAGATTAGCAGTTGATACTAAAGGTTTTATCATAAACTATTGTAGCCCTCTTTTATTTTCATTTATTTTAAATGTAACATCTAATGAGTCTATTTAACATTCCAGCTAGCATCTATAGTTATTGAATAACCAAACTCTAATAACAGTTCATTTTATAGATTAAAAAATATGGCTTTTTTTTTTTTTTTAGTCTTGAAGCTTTGGGATGCCTCTGACAATAAGGATTATTCTCCCTTTATGGTTTACATTTAGATCCAAAAGTGTCATGGTTTACAATTGGAAAGTATTCCAGTTGATGTAATAGATATTTTCTTGATAATTTTAGGATATGAAAATAACCTTGATTTCATTCACAATTATACTGCTAATTCTTAATTTAAACTGCACTCTGAACCCCTGTGTTTAATAGATAAGGTTCCTGCCTCTCAGGGAGCTCAAGAAACATCTAGGGAGATACAAACACAGCATAATAATACAACATGAAAAATGAGAGAAGGGTTAGGGAGGGAAGCAAAGAGGGATAGAGAGAAAGTGTGTATGAGTGAGTGTGTGCATGTGAGGGTGTGATTAGGGAAAGCTTCCTAGAAGTGTCACATTTCATCCAAACTTCAAAAGGGTTAGTTGGATTCACCATTAGAGAAGGGAGCTGGAAGAAATATTTTCATATTTCTACTAGTATGTAGAACTAATTATCAACCAGGTAAAATGATTTATCTTAGTAAGGGTGGGGTGTTATTCCATTTGAAAGAGCTACCTACTGGCTCTTAAGGGCAACATGAATGCTCTTAAGTCAAGATCAAAGTGAGCAGATGCTAGCTGTTTTCTGGAGCAACAGAGCACAACAATAAGAAGAGATGTGAAAAATGAGAAAGCCCTGAACTCCTGGTCATCCTCAATTTTCCCTAAAGTTTCCTGATAGTCTGGCTTCCAGGTAATAGACAAATTGGGTATATAGTTGTTATGATTGGTTTCTATTGTGGATTGTGAACAGGACTAAGTGCTCATAGACCTAAGAGAGAGGGAGGGAGGGAGTGAGAATAAGGTAAAGACAGAAAAAAACCCTTCTACTTACAGTGTCGTAATTTTGTCCTAAGAATTCTGCTACCAACACTTTATGTCGAGTCAGTAAATCCTGAAAAGAACAGCCAAGTGAAACAAAATTATTATACCTAATAAATTTTAAAAATCTTTTCCTTCTAAATTTAATAAATCTATTAATTTGAAACAAAAGTTTCAGAATAAAATTTTTCTTTACATCACAAAATTATTTCCATTCTGAGTTTAACATGCCAAATACAAGTTTGTTTAATGTTAAAAACAAGGGTTGGTTGCAAATTTATATTATTGTTAGGTTATAGAAGTAATTACTAAAACAAATGAAATTTTAGACTTGAATTTACAATATATTTCTTCAAGCCACAACTCTACATTGTGCATATGATATAATAATACTCAAATAAAGTTTATGATGATCTTTTAAAAGTGTCATTAATAAATAATCATTTTTACTTTGATAAGGATTGTATTAAATCTATAAATCGCTTTGGGTAGTATGGACATTTTGATGATGTTAATTCTTCCAATCCATGAGCATGATATATGCTTCCATTTACTTGTGTCTTCCTTAATTTCTTTCTTCAGTGTTGTGTAGTTTCCTGAGTACAGGTCTTTTACCTCCTTGGTTAGGTTTATTCCTAGGTACTTTCTTTTTCTTGTTGCTATAGCAAATGGGATTTTTTTCCTGATTTCTGTTTCTGATAGTTCATTGTTGGTGTGCAAAACTGCCTTCGATTTCTGAATATTGACTTTGTATCCTGCTGTTTTTGCCAAATTCACTTATTAGGTTGAATAGTTTTTGGTGGAGTCCATAGAGTTCTCTATGTACACTATCATGTCATCTGCAAACAATGACAGTTTTACTTCCTCCTTTCCAATTTGGATGCCTTTTCTTTTTCTTGTCTGATTGCTGTGGCTAGAACTTAGAATGGAAGATTTCAAAAACGTGTATCGAACCACAAACAAACAACCCTGAATAGCTGCAGCAATTTTGAGAAAGAAGAACAAAGTAGGAGGTATCACAATACCTGATATCAAACTATATTACAAGGCCATGGTAATCAAAACAGTCTGGTATTGGCACAAGAACAGATATATAGATCAATGGAACAGAATAGAGAGCCCAGAAATAAACCCATGTCTCTATGTTCGATTAATATTTGACAAAGGGGGCAAAAGCATAAAATGGAGTAAAAATAGCCTCTTCAACAAATGGTGTTGGGAGATCTGGACAGCTATATGCAAAAAAATGTAACTAGACCACCAACTTACACCATACACAAAAATAAACTCAAGATGGATAAAAGATTTAAGTCACAAAACTATAAAAGTCTTAGAGGAGAACATAGGCATGAAAATTTCTGATATTCCATGCAGCAATACTGTCACTGAGATGTCCCCTAGAGCAAGGGACATAAAGGAAAAAATAAACAAATGGGATTTCATCAAATTAAAATGCTTCTGCATGGCTAGAGAAAACATCGCTGTCCACTGGGTGCACAGGCCCTGTGTTCTCCCAGGGGGGTGTGGGCCCAGGTCAGCCCAACCTGTGTTTTGCCCAGGGCCACCCTGCCTGAGCTTCAAAGCAATCTGAGATGGCTACTACTCGTGCTAGGCTTGAAGATTCCCAAGCAACAGAAAGCTGTGAAAATAGGCTGGCTGCGGCTAGTACCATGCCTGGGGCCACTTAGCAAGAGGTATGGGGGTTGGAGACTCACTGCAACTGGCTGTTGATTGTGAAAATATAGGAAGTTGTGAAGCATAAAACTAGTCATTCTTATGGAAAAGTCACTGTTAACAGCTTGAATGGGCCCATAAATTAGGCAGGAGGAGTCTCAAGGGATTTCCAGGGCAGGGCAAACAGTGTTAGCCAGGTAAAAGGAGTCTCAGTTATTGCACACGTCTGATGGCTCTGTTGGGGATGGGTTCAGAAGAGGGACAATGGCCTCTGCCCACCCTTCTGTTTGGGAGAAAGCTGTCCCCTAGCTCTCATATTGATGCCAGACACTTCAGTTCATCCTTGAATGCCACTGTTGCCTTTTAAGCTGCTTACCCCAGTGCTGGAGCTCAGAGGGAGTGACTCTGAGTAACTCCACGGATGGATTCTTTAAGAGGAAATGCTTAGAACTCCAGAAGTTTCTTCTACTGACTCAATCCCTGCTAGTGTTTGCAGCCATAAGTTGTGGGGACTTATTTTCCTGGCACTGGAACCCTGGGCTGGGAGGCCTGGTGTGGGGCTGAAACTCCGTGCTCCTGAGATATTCCTCCTGAAACTTTACTCACCACACATGGATGTGGGACCAGTCCATTCCATGTCTCTGCCCCTACCAGCCTGGTTGGATGTGTTTTCTTTAAGTTCCTAGTTGCCAGAGTTCCATTTAACTCAATTTCTGATGGTTCTGTGTGATTGCTGTTCTATAGTTTAGTTTTAATTTTGATGTGGTTGTGCAAGGAGGTGAACTGTGCTTATGTCTGCCTCCATCTTAACTGGAAGCCTACTTTTTCTTTCCACTGCCATTTAGCCTCATTAAACTCCCCTCTCTCTGCTATCTCTACACTGTTGTCCATGTCCACAAGTCCTTTTTCCTTTTTTATTGAAACCACCCTTTAAACTCCTCTACCCCATAGCTTAACCACTTTTAAAATAGGACCTGGTTGGTATGGTTCAGTGGATTGAGTGCCAGCCTGTAAACTGAAAGGTTGCTGGTTCGATTCCTGTTGGGGCACATGACTCGGGTGTGGGCCAAGTCCACAGCTGGGGACATGCAAGGGGCAACTGATGTATTTATCACTCTTACATCGATGCTCTGTCAGTCTCTTTGTTCCTCCTTCCCCACTTCTCTATAAATAAATAGATAAATAAATAAATACAATCAAATCTTTTAAAATATAAAATAGAGGTGCTTAAGACACTGGGAAGTACAAGAATGACATTTAGCAGCACCATCTCAGTATCATCCTGTTCTGGAGTCTCTAGGCTGTGAGGTGTTGTACAATTATTAAGTAGCATAACATACACTTTCAGAGCTGAAGACAGGCAACCCAATCTTATAGGCATAATTCTCAGAAAACTGGGCAAAGCATAAAGGAACGTTTGACTCTCTTCAAATTACACCTAAATCATATCCTTAATTCATCTTGATATGGAAAGAAAATAGAGCCTTGCTCAATACTCCCTTTTATATGCTTAGAGGCTAAATACCCTGTTTATGTACCATGCAAAATTTAATTAAAACTATTGTTAATTAAACAAGAATTTTAAAGTTTTCCAAAATAAATTCTTATACTTTAATACATATTTAATTAAAACTTCCTAAAAGCATATAGAAGATACAATAATTTCACAGAGAAAAGAAGGCAGCAGCAATGATAAAACCTACCTATTGCTATTTTAATAAAAAGTAAAATATTTAAAGCATTTTGTACTATAATTTACAAGTTCAAAAACAGTAAGACTGGCTATTATTTTCACTTCATATTACTTATTTGTCACAAGTTGATTGACCATTGGGTCTATTAGTGGAAACGTGGTAGCTTTTTTTTTTCCCCAGGAGAACACATTCAGTACGGTTCTGTAACTAGACTTTAAAATGGAAAATCCTCTACAGGTGTACATTCCTGGCCTGTCTGAAGTCAAAATTCAAACTATTCTTCTATCAGGGGACTCCTAAGAGAGTAAGGTAGTCCCACACCATCCTTTGGGGTCCCTAATCTTTTTCTATGTGGGTATTTGGGACATCCCGTTTTCAGACAACCCCTTCCCTAAAGCTCCTGAGTAATATCAGTGATCTTGTGAGCTGACCCAGGTTATTTATAAGAGGCTGCAACACTTTTAAACCTGTATTTTAAACAGGTTATTTAAAAGACACTGTGGATTGCTGCACCCATGGGAGCTCTCCACTTGCTACAAGTTGTCAGCCTCCAGTATGAGGCCCATGCTCTCCCTCTGCCACCAGACCTGCACAAGTGGAAACAATGGCAATGCAGAAAGCACTCTGCTGATGAATCTGCCTGGAAAGGTTTTCCATTCACTACACATAGCGTTGCATCAAAGAAAGAGGAGTCAGGAGGGAGTTTTGTTAGTAGCAGCTCCTTCAAGTTCTAAGAGGAAAAAAACTTGAAACAACTAAAAAATTCAACAGAAGAAGAATATGGTAGAATTGCTCTAGCACATGTATATCATGTATATCAATGGATACAGCCAATAAATAATTTGCATTCTCTTTCATATACACACTCTAATACACTTGAGTGTGTATATATTATATATTCATAGATATACTCTAATATTTATGTACATAATAAATGTATACACAAAACTCAAATGATTATACCAAGTATATACAGCAAGTCCTCACTTAACATTGTCAATAGATCCTATGACGTTGTGAAACAACATATAATAAAGCCAATTTTATCACAGGCTAATTGACATAAACAAGAGTTAAGTTCTTGTAGTATTTCATCAATATCAGAATGAAACAACATTGAATGTAATCACATTATTCGAGGACCTGCTAAACATACACATCTGCATCTATAATTTTTTTCATTATGAAAGTTTCTTATTTTTATTACATCCTTTTAAAAATATCCACAATATATAAATACTACAGTGTGCAGAAAGCCGCATGAATAGCTTAGTCATTAGACTGACTTCCAAATTTGGTCTTTCTTTCTTTTTTTAAATTAATTTATTTTTTCAAATATATTTGTCTCTGCCTACCCCCCACCACTTTCACTTGCCCCCTCCCTCCCTCTCTCAACTCTTCCCCTTTGGTTTTGTCCGTGAGTCCTTGCTATATGTTCCTTGAATTTCCCCTTCCCTTCCTTTTCCCTCGCCACCCCTCCCTCCTTCCCTCTTGTCTCTGTTGGTTTCTTTTCCTTTCAGTGTTGCTGGTCTTATTTTCCTTGCATCTTTGTTTTGTTGTTTAGGTTCCACATATAGGTGAGATCATATGGTATTTGTCTTTTCGCCCCCTGGCTTATTTCGCTTAGCATAATGCTCTCCAGTTCCATCCATGCTGTTGTGAAGTTTAGTAGTTTTTTTTTTCTTTCTGCTGCGTAGTATTCCATTGTGTATATGTACCATCACTTTTTGATCCAATCATCTACTGATGAGCATTTAGGTTGCTTCCAACACTTGGGTATTGTAAATTGTGCTGCTATGAACATTGGGGTGCATAGGTCCTTTTGTATTGGCGTTTTGGGGTTCTCAGGGTATAGTCCCAGCAGGGGAATCACTGGATCAAAAGACAGTTCCATTTTCAGCTTTCTGAGGAAATTCCACACTGTTTCCATAGTGGCTGCACCAGTCTGCATTCCCACCAACAGTGTACTAGGGTTCCCTTTTCTCCACAGCCTTGCCAGCACCTGTTGTTTGTGGATCTGTTTATGATGGCCATTCTGACCGGTGTGAGGTGGTACCTCATGGTGGTTTTGATCTGCATTTCTCTGATGGCTAGTGATGCTGAGCATCCTTTCAAATGCCTCTGGGCCCTCTATATCTCCTCCTCGGAAAAGCGTCTGCCCAGGTCCTTTGCCCATTTTTTGATTGGATCATTTGTCTTCTTGGAGTGGAGTCGAGTGAGTTCTTTATGTATCTTGGAGATCAAACCTCTATCTGGTGTGTCATTAGCGAATATATTTTCCCATATGGTTGGCTCCCCTTTCATTTTGCTCATGTTTTCTTTAGCCGTGCAGAAGCTTCTTATTTTGATGAGGTCTCACTTTTTACTCTTTCCTTTATGTCCCTTGCTTTAGGAGACATATCAGTGAAAAAATTGCTGCGTGGGATATCTGAGTTTCCTGCCAATGTTCTCCTCTAGGACTTTAATGGTGTTGTGACTTATATTTAAGTCTTTTATCCATCTTTTTTTTTTATATTTACAAATTTTATTATTTTGCATCCCAAAAATACATATAAATGAAAACCTGCTCTTCAAATGCAGGGAGGCCTTTGCCTATAATGTAGTATTACATTTACATCACAAAACATTCTCATATGAAAATCAGTATGCAGCTCTTTCACACACAATTATATATACAACACTATATATACGTACGTTGTTATGCATTTTCTACTTACACAGATTCCTTTAGTGGAAAATTAGGAAATTGGGCAATTCCCATGCTTTCCAGCTTTGGGAAGGTAAATACAACCTCTCTAAATGTTTTTTAAAAAGATGAGACATAAACTACACAACCTTCTTTAGACATACACATGTTGTTAGAATAAAACAAGGACCCTGCCACATAAATGACAGTGTTTCTCAAAAGAGGAAAAAAAAGAGAACGTTTGGAAAAAAAAAATGTAAAGTTGAAGAACAGATTAAGATGATCAAAATTGTTATGTACATGCTCCATAGAGAAATCAGAACTCTCAGAGGAAACAGATGCATAACACACTCCAGCCTCCTGGGGCATTAGATCAGCACCCAAGGGCAGTAGTCCTGATCTTCCATTACAGTCCCAGGCTTGAGGAGACTCCATAAAGCATCTGTTTAAGTCCAACAGTCAACAGTGAGGTCATGTGGTAAATTCCCACCCCCGCCCCCCCAAAAAAAGAAGTGCAAAATTAACTTCTGTGACTCAAGAGCTCAACCAGTTCAAAGCTTTGGTATATACTGGAGGCTGTTCTGGTGATAACCAAAGCTTAGAAAAATTCTGTTAAGGGATTTGCCCCAGAAACAAAAATAAAACAAACCCAGTTCACAAAGCCTATAAATAAAGTAACTGTACAAAGAGGACAAGCCACAGTTTCCCTTTAGCCAAGGGTTATAGTTTCCTAGGCAGCAGTTCTGAAAGCACCAACTAAAAGCCACAATGCTTCTATGAAACACGATGTGTTGGTGAGACTGTTCTGAAAACATATGCCCAGAGGCAAGTGGCTGATGTGCCACAGAAAAAAAGTTTAATGAAACATAAAGACTTAAGGCAGTAAGAGGCATTACCCAGAGCACCACGGTGCTCCCGAGTCAATCACAAAGCCTTTGCAGAAAGGAACGGTCTCTCTCAAGAGTTTGTTTCTTAGTTTGCTAGCTGTCAGATACTTCCTCCTCCTCCTCATCATCCTCATCTTCTTTCCTGTCTACTTCAGAGGTATCAGAGGACTCATGAAGCAGAACATACTCTCTGCTGCTGAACCCAAATTTAAGTACATCTTTTTCCTTCAGTTCATAGTATCTCTGTGGCTCAATGCGCTTGTTGTTCAAGAATGTTCCATTGCCTGAGCCAAGGTCAATGATGTAGGGCTTCACCCTGCGGCCTACTGTCCCATCAGCACGGGTATATTCCACGAGCCGATACTGAAAGACCGCATGCTGCTTTGAACAAGAGGGATGATCAATTGGAATGTCTGCAATACGACGGTGGCGCCCCAGGAGGTAAGCGCTTTGTCGATGGATGTACATGACTGGAAGAACCTCATCATTTTTAAAGGGGTAAAGACGCCACCGTTTTTTAGGGATACGTGCTTCAGGGGGTTCGTTATATTTAATGACTACACCCCGGTAGGTGTTGGTGTCCTCAAGAAGTGCCCCAGAAAGTTCAAAGCTTGGCTTTTCCTTAACAGGCACCTCTTTGTCTTTGTTTTTGCCACCAGGTGGAGGAAGCAACTCCTGAGACTCTTTACCACTGGCACTAACTTCATTCTTTTGACGATGCTCTCGCCGTCGGGCATTATAAAACTCCCGCTCTGCTTCCTGAGCCTGCAGGTTCTGAAGGTCCCGATCCCGTCCCTGAGCCTGCCCACTCCCAGGTCTCTCATTAGAGGTTCTCCTCTGGTGGGAGTGGCCCCTGTGCCTGTCTCGGTCACTGTTCCTAGCTCGCCTGTGTTCCTGTCCGGATGCGTCCCGGTGCTGCCGATCCTCCCGTTCTCTCTGGGGAGGATGATCTTCACGTTCCTGCTTCACTTTGACTGTTGAATGGTGAGGACTTCGGCTTCTCTTACTCCGAGGAGACTTGCTTCTTCTTCCTGAGGACTTTTTCTTTTTGGCCGGCGATCGGCTATGTCCTCGGGCTCGGGTCCCGCGGTGACCAGGGCGGCCTGGCTTGCCGGCTGGCGGGGACGCGCTACCGCGGGAGCAGTCTGGACGGCGGTGAACTGGAGGCGCAGCCTCCGGGCTGAGGCGCTCTTGCTTAACCACCACCGCCGCCGTGGCCACTATGTCCTCGTCCCGGTGCCTTCGCTGGCTTCCCCGCTACCGCTCGCTTTTCACCTCCTTCATGCTGATATATCCGCGGAGCAAAAAACACAGCCGTTGTGATCCTCTCTTAGAAAGGAAATCCTTTTATCCATCTTGAGTTTATTTTTGTGTATGGTGTCAGCTGATGATCCAATTTCAAGTTTTTGCACGTAGCTGTCTAGTTCTTTCAACACCATTTGTTGAAGAGGCTATTTTTACTCCACTTTATACTTCTGCCCCCTTTGTCAAATATTAATTGACCATATAGATGTGGGCTTATTTCTGGGCTTCCTATTCTGTTCCACTGGTCTATCGGTCTGTTCTTGTGCCAGCACCAGTTGTTTTGATTATAGTGGCTTTGTAATACAGTTTGATGTCCAATATTGTGATCCCTCCTATTTTGTTTTTCTTAAAATTGCTGTGGCTGTTCGGGGTTGTTTATGGTTCCATATAAATTTTTGAAATGTCTGCTCTATTTCTGTGAAATATGTCATTGGTATTTTAACAGGGACTGCATTGAATCTATAAATTTCTTTGGGTAGTATGGACATTTTGATGATGTTAATTCTTCCAATCCATGAGCATGATATATGCTTCCATTTATTTGTGTCTTCCTTAATTTCTTTTTTCAATGTTGTATAGTTTTCTGCGTACAGGTCTTTTACCTCTTTGGTTAAATTTATTCCTAGGTACTTTATTTTTCTTCTTGCTATATCGAATGGTATTTTTTTCTGATTTCTTCTTATTCTATTTCATTGCTGGTGTACAAAAATGCCTTGATTTCTGAATGTTGACTTTGTATCCTGCTGTTTGCCAAATTCACTTATTAGGTTGAAGAGTTTTGTGGTAGGGTCTACAGGGTTCTCTATGTACACTATCATGTCATCTGCAAACAGTGATAGCTTTACTTCCTCCTTTCCTATTTGGATGCCTTTTATCTCTTTATCTTGTCTGACCGCTGTGGCTAGGACTTCCAATACGATGTCGAAAAGAAGCGGTGAAAGCGGACATCCTTGTTGTGTTCCCAATCTTAGTGGGAAAGCTTTCAGTTTTTGCCCGTTGAGTATGATGTTGCCTGTAGGTTTTTCATATATGGCCTTTATTACGTTGAGGAATGCCCCATTTATTCCCATTTTGCTGAGTGTTTTGATCATAAAGGGGTGCTCTACCTTATCGAATGCTTTTTCTGCATCTATCGAGATGATCATGTGGTTTTCGTCTTTTATTTATGTGATGTATTACGTTTATTGACTTGCGTATATTGAACCATCCCTGCATCCCTGGGATGAATCCCACTTGATCGTGGTGGATAACCTTTTTAATGTATTGCTGGATGCGGGTTGCCAAGATTTTGTTGGGGATTTTAGCATCTATGTTCATCAGCAAAATTGGCCTGTAGTTTTCTTTCTTTGTAGGGTCTTTATCTGGTTTTGGGATTAGGGTATGCATGTATAATTATAATTGCAGCATTATGATAGAGCATATAACTGAGCAGGAAAAAAAGAAACTAGCTAGGATTTTACCCAGAGGAAAAAAAGCAGAAAATTGTCAATAAAGTCTAAATTTTAAAGAATTTAAATTTGTTTATATGAGAGAGGGGAAGGGAAAGAGAGAAACATTGATGGAAGAGAAAGACATTGATCAGTTGCCTCTTGCATATACCCCAACCAGGGACTACACTCACAACTCAGGCACGTGCTGTGACTGGGAATTGAACAGGTGACCTTTTGCTTTGCAGGATAACGCCCAACCAACTGAGCCACATGAGTTAGAGCAAATTAAAATTTAAAAAATTATTTGAAATAGTATATACTCTTTGATCCCACCTCCTAACAATTCTGTTTGACAGGACCAAGTTTTGCATAATCTAATTATATGCTTTAAAAACAAATGTGATATTGGTATTTTAGTAGTGAGTGGAGTTAAGAGACACATACGATGGCAGCGATGTGATACTACATCTGCCAGCAGCAGCTGCATTTACTACATGCTGGAGTGTGCCGAGTACTTACTCCGTATTATTTCTTTTGTAAAGAAATTTATTTATTGATTTTAGAGAGACAAGCAAGTGATGGAGTGTGGGGGAGAGAGAGAGAGAAACATCAGTTTGTTGTTCCATTTATTTATGCATTCATTCATTGGTTAATTCTTGTATGTGCCCTGACTTGGGATTGCCCCTGCAACCTTGGCATATTGGGAAGATGCTCTCACCAACTGAGCTACTAAGCCAGGGCACACACGCAAATTATTTCTAATCTTCACAACTCCACAAAGCAGGAATTATTTTCTTCATCTTGGAGATAAAAAAAATAAAGCTCAAAGGTTAACTGAGTTGCTCAAGGACATACATGTGAAGTGGCAGAGAGGTGGAACACTTCAATCATGCCGATTCTCACAGGGAGTACTAAAAAAAAAATGTGGTTGTAACAAATCTTCTTTGTGACAGGACAATTTGTAGACAATACCATGACAAAAATATAAACGAATAATGTTAAACATTATGACTAAACTGGGTAATAGTCATCTTGGAGCTCAAAATAGAAGAGATTCGTCTAAGAGGTTAAAAACAAAAGCCCAAACTAGTATAAATCCAAACTAAATCCAAACCAAATAAACAAACAAAACCCCTTGAAACCAGCAACTTAAAAAAAAAGTGACTTACGGTCACTGTTACATATATTAACCATATCATTTTGAAAAATTTAGAAAACTGGCATTTACAATGGTGTTAGCATACTAAAAAACTTTTTAAGTTATTTAGATTTCTAAGGACTTAAGTTCAATAAAAAATGTGCTAAAATACAAATCAAAACATTAGAATTTTTTGATTCAGTATTGTGCTGAAAATTAAATTGGGCTGAACATATGATAGCCCAATATGATAATATACATTATTATCAAGTACAGTTTATTTTATTAAACGTTGAAAAATCTTTGGGGAAATTTTCTAAAATATATATTCATCTCTGTTTGCTTTTTCCTCCATTAAAGTTCATACTATGTTTATAATTATTTGTGAAGTTTTATGTTTTAAGTAACTTGTTTCTATGACAGCAATCATCAGACTGAAAAGAGAAAAATCAGGACACTACAGTATCTATTAATAAAAAACATCTCATTAGATGCTTAGGCACAGACATTTTGCTAGAATGAAATGGAATAATCAATCCTCTGTATTAAATGTCATTTTTCATATCTGGTGCATTAAGACCTCTCTTACCATGTGCTCTACATATACTCTTTTTGGGAGTGGGGTTCATCTGTAGCCACTGTACCATTCTGTTTTGCTGGGTGAGACTGAGAGGCCTGTGAAACGGATAATTCTCCTGGGGTTTCACAGCACTCTGAGCATATGTCTACATATGCTGCCCTTACCCTTTCCTTTCACCCTCCAGTCAACTCTCCTTGGAGTTTGTCTCCAACCTTTTCTTCTCTATCTTTCCTTTCCTTCCCCTCACTTTTGCTATTCTTTCCAGTTTTCTTCTTCCTTTCTTCACATCTTTGTCTTTTCCCTAATTCCTTCTTCTCTTCTCTTTCTTGCCCTTACCCTTTTCCATCTATCCTATACTTCCAGGCATGGGCACTTCCTCTATGCTCTGTTTTCCCAAGGAGAAGCTAGGGAGCAGGCAGGACTGGATGGAGACATGTGGAAAACCTAAGCAGGCTAGTGACCATCTTCACTTCAAACCCAGATTCTATTCAATAAATTGGTATTTTATTTCAGGCTTAGCTCAAGCTTTTAGGGATGACGGCACTGCAGCTCCTTTGCTCTACTGTCTCATGTGCTTCAGCCCTGGTCCCAAACAAACCTGCACACCCTGTTAGTAAAACAAAAGTATCATAGTAAACTGTCATGCTCAAATAGAATTCTCTCTGACAGTCCATGTCAATTCAATTTTCCTTGTTTCATTATATTTCCAGAGATATCTTGGTTCCCTTTCCCAGGCAGCTACCTGGACTTGCCTACTGTTTAACCAGGATATCTTCAAGGTGAAATCCACTCAGCAGTGTTCTCTTTTCTTAGTCACAGGAAGCCCTCTTGCTACCCAGCATGCAGGCCCTGCCTACATGTGGGACCCACTATGTTCCTTTCCTTTCACCAGGTTTTCTTCTCCTGAGGTTCCCCTTTCATCCTGCTCCACTCTAATCTCGTCCTTTCATTGAGTTTTTATAATCTCTGACACTTTCTCACACTTCCTCCAACATGTGACCCAATATATCTTTTAGTAGATTTTAGGAACCTTCTCACAACAGGCTTAGTAAATCCTAGTCTATAGATAACATGTACTTTTCAGTACAGCAAACTACTGCTTTCACTTTTCTCCACCTCTGAAAGTTATTAAAAAGAACAATTTATCTGGGTCAACTTTTAAATCGTTAACATACGGCAATAAGATTAAAGTATACATTAATATTATTAGTATATGAACTATGTCAATATTGTTAAATGTGTATTTATGATGATATATAAAAATCCATATCCTGATATGGGATATGATAGCAAATTAGCTACACTATCTTCTAATATGCTCTCTAATAGTACTATTAATAGTGTCCAAAATTATGCTTTTTTTTTCCATTAAGTTTTTTTTTTCCAAACTCATAGAAACAGAAAGTAGAAAGTAGCTATCAGTGGCTAGAGGGAGAGGGAAATGGAGAGTTGTTTAACAGAGACTGGTTGTATGATAATATGAATATATGTAAGTACTAAATTGTACACTAAACAATGGTTAAGATGGTAATTTTATGTGCATTTTATCACAATTAAAAATGTTTTAATTTAGAAATTAAGTTAGATTAAATTTAACTTTGATGTTAACAAATTGGATAAAAGTTTATACGAAAATATATGATTTTTAAAAGCCACATTATTAATATTTTGTTTCACCATGTAGAAATTTAAAATTACACTAATAAAATAATATGATGTTCTTCATATTCAAAGCTGTAATTTTCTATCCTCCTTCATTAACCCAGTTTCTTTTGTTGGAGGTAAAAACACTATTACTATTTTCTAGGTATCCTTCCAGAGGTATTCAATGTATATACAGCTTAAGTGGAAGCTTATACCTTTTGTTTTTAACATAAGTAAAAGAATAATATACAGAGTACTACATTTTCCTTTTTTCATTTATATATTGGAATTCATTATGTATGAGCTTATGACAGTATTTTCAGATGTTTTTTCCACAATGTGACAGACTGGCTTAACAGATTGTATTCTATTTACCAATGCCTCTTATGATCTAAATCATACACAGTTGGCTATGCTTATGCCTAAGGAATAGAATTTTCTGCTTTTTAAAATTAAGTTGCTTCGTTAGAGGCCAATTGACTTTGACTAAATGTGAAACTATGTGACCTAGCTTGTTAAGAAAAAAAAATTACCTTAAAAGTAGCAAAGGCATCTGAAGCAATATCAAATGTTGACAACTCCACATACTTAAAGAAATCTCTGAATTGATTAGAAAAGAGGATGATTTTGGCAAGTGATTCATATCGAATACATTCTCTCAGCATAATTCCATTACGTAAGGCAATCTGTGGGACTTCATATCTAAAGCATAAACAAGAGATAGAGACTTCTATTATCCTTTGAACGAAATAATATTAATAGTATCCAAATAATCTTTTCAATACTGCTTTAATGGAAACATAGATAGAATTTTCATAGTTCATACCAAGACCAATCATTCAATACCCACTGAATATCTATGTGTCTGGTACTATTCCAGATGCTGGGATACAACAGTAAGCACGACAAGGTCAGTGGCTTCCTAGTGTTCATATTTTAATGAGATTATGTCTGGTGGGGAAAAAGGTAGGCTATAAACAAGGAAAAGATAATTTCATATTCTAAGAAGAGCTTTGAAGCTAAAGACAATAAAATAGTGTGAGAGGCTGAGCCTGTCATGATAAGATTGGCATCTCCTTTGGTTGCCCCTCAAACCCTGCACTCAGTCAGCAGCCAGAGAGCAGTGCCAGTAACCACAGGGATTTACTTTACTGGGGGAAAGGCCCCTCCCCAACTCTAATTCAGCCCCAGAAGAATACAGAATGACCTTACCTCATTATAATAGTATAAAACACACATATAGGAGATTTAAGATGCTAATGAGGCAGGCAACACATGAAGAAACATATTGTACTGCACAGGCACCAAAGAGTCCTGCTTCAAGATGCCTAGATGTCATACTTAGATCTCATCTCTCCTGCCTAAAATCCTTTAAAACCGCTCCCCAGACTTTGAAGAGCAGCATCATCCTCTCTTTTTAATATGTATTTTATTTTTACTGATTTTAGAGAGAGGAAGGGGGGGAGAGAGAAGAGACAGACAGACAGAGAGACATCAATTTGTTGTTCCACTCATTTATACTTGACTGATTCTTGGATGGGCCCTGACTGGGGATCAAACCCACAATGATGGTGTATCAGATCAGCACTCTAACCCACTGAAGTACCAGGCTAGAACAGCATCTTTTTCATTTCTAAGTGTTGTCTCCCTTTGTGCACAAGGCTTTAATACCCTTTGCCTGAGTCCTAATTCTGTAGGTACTCTCTCGATTTCTGTCTTGGGAGTTCCCAAGAAGCCAGGGTGCTAGTAACGATAAGTCTATTTATAGTGTAACTACTACTTAGTTTACTTTACTTTAGATTGAGTGGTCAGAGAATAGACAAAGTGTTCCAAGCAAACAGAACTAACTATGCAAAGGCTCCAAGGCAAGAAGCAGCTTAGTGAGTTAGAGGAGAAGGCCAATGTAGTTGGAATGCAGGCGGAAGAGTAATGGATGGCATGAAATGAGGCAGGAGTGGAGAGAAGGGCAGGGGAAAGATCACCTACAGCTCTGTTACCCAACATATGGCTTTTAAGTGTAGTAGGAAGCCTTTGGAGAGTTTAAAGAAAGAAATTAACATGACTTAATATATGCGTTCAAAAGATTACTCTAATTACCTATTGTAAAACAGGAATGAATGGGCTGGGGAACTAATGTGGAAACAGTGAGACATATATCATTTCAGTCTGACTAGGATATTGATTTTTGATAGTTTATTGCCTGTTGTATAGAGAAGTACTCCATAAGATAAGCCTATCTCAAGTGAAAAACTCAAAAACAGTATCCTTAGGTTTGGTAAAGAATAAATATTTATCTCATTTATTTTATTCTACCTATTGATAAGGTTCCTGAGGGCAGGAACATGAGAATTCAGAAACCACCCAAGGACTAGACATGATCAGTTCCATTGGCATTGTGGAAAATGGCTTGGAGAGTGGGGAAGCTGAGATTCCAGCTTGGTGGAAGAGTCCAAGCAAGCGATAATTAGAGCCAGAACTTTAGTAGGGATATTGGGAATGAATGGAGCAGATATTTTTTAAGTATTTCATTTTTTTCTGAATCAAAGTAATACGTGTTTATTACTTAAAAATTCAAACATTTTTAGAAATGTATAATATGGAAAGGGAGTGCATACCATAATCTCTCCCAAAGAAACCATTATCAAAAATTTGGTGATGACTCCTTTGGTTAATATTATCTATTACAATGATTCTTATTTTTTAAGCCAAACTTTACACTCACTCCTTCACTTCATGTTTTGTAGGTACTATTTATTGTATGCCTGTTATATACCAGGTATTGCATTCAATATCTTTACTAATGTTATTTCAATTAATCCTTCTAATAATACTGGGGACCTGGTATTATTCTTACCATTTTACAGATGATGAAATTGAAACTTAAGAGAGAATAAGGCATTGTTCAAGGTTATTCAGCTAATAAGTGACAGAGCCAAGTTTCCAACCCAGATCTGTTTCTAAATTTCATATATTTTTTTTTTTTGCTATTAATATATCTTTCATAAGATTTGAGAACCATTTAAGTCTGAAGGGAAAGGGAATTATAGAAGACCCTGAGGACAGGACAGGTAACAAGAAGCCTTAAATGTAACAGTTGCACTAGAATCAAATTAACTGTCACCATTTTCTAGTTTAGTTTGAAATGCTGGAGAATTAGCACTTTGTTAAAGGTCAGCATTTTATACTGAATGATCTTTTATAAAGTTGTGTAAAAACTTAGGATAACATTGGTGTATTTGTAGATCAAACCATGATGTTATTTAGGGATATGACAGTAACAAGTTATATTGAACCTAAATCTAACCATAATGAATGCAAGGCAGAAAAGAAATTGATACTTGTCCATCAAAGAGCATCATCTGGCCCTGGCTGGTGTGGCTCAGTGGATTGAGTGCTGGCCTGTGGACCAAAAGGTTGCCAGTTTGATTTCTGGTCAGGGCACATGCCTGGGTTGCAGGCTGGGTCCCCAGAGAGGGGCATGAGAAAGGCAATTGATTGATGTTTCTCTTGCACATTGATGTTTCTCTCCCTCTCCATTTCCTTCCTTTCCCCTCTCTCTAAAAATAAATAAATACTAATAGCAGGGGATTTTAACACCCCACTGTCAAAAATGGATAGATCTTCCAAACACAACATCAACAAGGATATTGTGGAACTGAATCATACATTAGATCAAATGGACTTAGAAAGGCAATTGATTGATGTTTCTCTTGCACATTGATGTTTCTCTCTCTCTCCATTTCCTTCCTTTCCCCTCTCTAAAAATAAATAAATACTAATAGCAGGGGATTTTAATCTCACTGTTGAAAATGGATAGATCTTCCAAACAAAACATCAACAAGGATATTGTGGAACTGAATCATGCATTAGATCAAATGGACTTAAATGATATACAGAATCTTTCATCCGAAAGAAGCAAAATACACATTCTTGTCAAATGTACAAGCAACATTTTCAAAGACAGATCACATGATAGGACACAAAACAAGCCTCAACAAATTCAGGAAAACTGAAATCACAACAAGCATTTTCTTGGACCATAAGGGCTTGAAACTGGAAACCAACCTCAAGGAAAAACCTCAGAAACATTCAAACTCATGGAGACTGAAGAGCACACTATTAAACAATGACTGGGTCAATAATGAGATAAGAGAAGAAATAAAAAAGTTTCTGGAAACAAATGAAAATGAACACACAACAGTCTAAAACCTACAGGACAAAGCAAAGGCAGTCCTGAGAGGGGAGTTCATAGGAACACAGGACTACCTAAAAAGATAGAAACATTTCAAATAAATGTCCTGACTCTACAACTTCAAGAACTGGAAAAACAACAACAAACAAATCCCAGAGCAAATAGAAGGAAGGAAATAATCAAGATCAGAGCAGAATTGAATAACACAGAGACTAAAAGAACAATTCAAAGGATTAACCAATCCAGGATCTGATTCTTTGAAAAGATAAACAAAATCAACAAGCCTTTAAGCAGACGTATTAAGACAAAAAGGGAGAGGACCCAAATAAAATCAGAAATGAAAGAGGAGAAATAACAACTGATACCCCAGAAATACAAAGGATTGTCAGAAACTACTATGAGCAATTATATGACAAGAAATTCGAAAACCTCAATGAAATGGACAAATTTCTAGAAAAGTATAACCTTCCAACACTGAATGAAGAAGAAGCAGAAAGCCTGAAGAGACCGATAACAGCTGGTCAAATTGAAGCAGTAATAAAAAAACTCCCAGCACACAAAAGCCCTGGACTGGATGGTTTCAGAGGAGAATTTTATAAAACATTTAAGGAAGAGCTAACCACTGTCCTTCTCAGACTATTCCAAGAAATCAAAGAAGGGGGAAGACTACCAAACTCTTTTCATGAGGCCAGCATCTACCTAATCCCAAAACCAGATAAAGACACAGCAAAGAAAGAAAACTAACTACAGGTCAATATCGCTTATGAACATAGATGCTCAAATCCTAAACAAAATATTGGCAAACTGCATCCAGCAATACATTAAAAGGATTGTCCACCATGATCAAGTGGGATTCATCCCAGGCATGCAAGGATGGTTCAATATTCGCAAATGAATAAACGTTAATATGTTGCATAAACAAAAGGAAAGACAAAAATCACATGATCATTTCAATAGATGTGGAAAAAGCATTTGATAAGGTATAGCACCGATTTATGATAAAACCACTCAGCAAAATGGGAGTAAAGAGGGCCTACCTCAACATAATAAAGGCCATATATGAAAAACGTACAGACAACTTCATACTCAATAGGCAAAACCTAAAGCTTTTCCACTAAGAGCAGGAACAAGGCAAGGATGTGTGCTTTCACCTCTTCTATTCAACATAGTATTGGAAGGCCTAGCCAGAGCAGTTGGACAAGAAAAAGAAACAAAGGGCATCCAAATTGGAAAGGAGGAAGTAAAGCTATTATTGTTTGCAGATGACATGAGAATGTACATAGAAAACCATATAGACTCCATCAAAAAGCTACTCGACCTAATAAGTGAATTTGGCAAAGCAGCAGGATACAAAGTCAATATTCAGAAATCGAAGGCATTTTTGTACATCAACAATAAAATATCAGAATCAGAAATCAGGAAAAAATCCCATTTGCTATAGCAACAAGAACAATAAAGTACCTAGGAATAAATTTAACCAAAAAAGTAAAAAGCCTGTATGCAGAAGACAATACAACACTGAAGAAAGAAATTAAGGAAGACATAAGTAAATGAGAACATATACCATGTTCATGGACTGAAAGAATGAACACCATCAAAATGTCCATACCACCCAAAGCAACTTATAGATTCAATGCAATCCCTATTAAAATACCAATGACGTATTTCAGAGGCACAGAACAGACATTTCAAAAATTTATATGGAACCATAAACGACCCTGAATAGCTGCAGCAATTTTGAGAAAGAAGAATAAAGTAGGAGGGATCACAATACTGGACATTAAAACTATATTACAAGGCGACCGTAATCAAAAGAGTCTGGTACTGGCACAAGAACAGACACTTAGACCAGTGGAACAGAACAGAAAGCCCAGAAATAAACCCATGTCTCTATAGTCAATTAATACTTGAAGAAGGGGGCAGAAGCATAAATTGGAGTAAAGATAGCTTCTTCAACAAATGGCATTGGGAGAGCTGGACAGCTACATGCAAAAAATTGAAATTCAATCACCAACTTACATCATACACAAAAATAAATTCAAGATGGATAAAAGACTTAAATATGTCACAACACCATAAAAGTCCTAGAGGAGAACATTGGCAGGAAACTCTCAGATATCCCATGCAGCAATTTTTTCACAGATATGTCCCCTAAAGCAAGGGACATAAAGGAAAGAATAAACAAGTGGGACCTCATCAAAATAAGAAGCTTTTGCATGGATAAATAAAACATCAACAAAATGAAAAGGGAACCAACTGTATGGGAAAATATATTTCCCAATGATACATTAGATAGGAGTGTGATCTCCAAAATATATAAAGAACTTACATGACCCCACTCCAAGAAGACAAACGATCCAATTAAAAAATGGGCAAAGGATCTGGACAGATACTTTTCCAAGGAAGAGATACAGAGGCGCCCAGAGAAATATGAAAGGATTCTCAGCATCACTAGCCATCAGAGAAATGCAAATTAAAAACACAATGATAGACCACTTCACATCGGTCAGAACGGCCATCATAAACAGATCAACAAACAACGAGTGCTGGTGAGGCTGTAGAGGAAAGGGAACCCTAGTGCACTGTTGGTGTGAATGCAGACTGGTGCAGCCATTGTGGAAAACACTGTGGAATTTCCTCAAAAAACTAAAAATGGAACTGCCTTTTGACTCAGTGAATCCATTGCTGGGATTACAGCCTAGAATCCCAAAACACCAATTCAAAAGAACCTATGCACCAGCACAATTTACAATAGCCAAGTGTTATAAGCAACCTAAATGCCAATCAGTAGATGATTGGATCAAAAAACTATGGTACATTTACACAGTGGAGTATTAGGAAGCAGAAAGAATAAAAGAACTACTATACTTCGCGACAGCAGGGACGGAACTAGAGAGCATTATGCTAAGCAAAATAAGTTAGGGGGTGAAAGACAAATACCATATGATCTCATCTATAAGTGGAACCTAACAAACAAAACAAACAAGCAAGGAAAATGTAACCAGCAACATTGGAAGAAAAAAGAAACCAACAGAATCAAGAGGGAAGCGGGGGGCGGGGAAAGGAAGGGAAGGGTCAAGTCAAGGAACATGTATAAAGGATCCATGGACAAAGCCAAAGTGGGAAAAGATTGAGGAAGGGGGATAGGGGAGGGGGGCAGGGTAAAGTGGTGGGGGGAAAATGGAGACAGATGTATGTGAACAATTAAAAAAAAAGAATAAAGTATGATCTTTAGTTAATATTAATGTATCAAAATAGTTTCATTAGTTGACACAAATATACCATATTAATATATTTTAGAAGAAACTGAGTTTGAGCAAATTGGAATGTTTTGTAATAATTTTACTATTTTTCTGTAAATCTAAATACACTCCAAAATTAAAAATGTATTTAAAAATCTAAATAAATAAATAAATAAGTAAATCTATTTAAAAAACTAAAAAAGAAAAAAAGAGAATCATCTAGATATGGGATACAAAACACAGTACAAAGGATTTGGAGCCCAAATTTTATGAAGAAATTATGAGTAACAACTTCTAAAATCTCTCCCTGTCTCCTTCCTTTCCCTTCTCTCTAAAAATAAATAGATAAAATCTTAAAAAAAAAAAAAAAAGCCCTGGCTGGTGTGGCTCAGTGAACTGAGTGTTGGCCTGCAAACCAAGGGGTCACCAGTTCACTTCCCCGTTGGGCACATGCCTGGATTGCAAGCCAGGTCCCCAGTAGATGGCACCTTAGAGGCAACCACACATTGACATTTCTCTCTGTCTCTTTCTCCCTCCTGTCCTTGCTCTAAAAATAAATAAATAAAATCTGAAAGGAAAAAAAAAAAAGACTTCCTCTAAAGGAACTTTTCTCCTGGCCCATGTAAGTGACATTCCAGGGCACTGACAGAACCTGAGTGTGAGGTCACTAAACTTCTCTCAGTGATCCACAGAAAATCATGGCCAGTGGAAGATGTTCCAGAAGTCTAATCTAAAAATCATAATTTCTAATAATCCTCCTTTTAAAATTTTTAATACAATGATTTTTGACCATATACAAAAGGAGAAAGTACAAAGAAACCTCTTGTACCCATCACCCAGCCTTAAGAACCATGAATATTTTGCTGTTTGTTTTACTTATTTCCCCAATACCACCGCTCATCTTTGTTTTGGCTGGAGAATTTTAAAGCCTCATATGGTATCATATCAACCCTAAACACTTTAATATGCATCTCAAAAGTAAAAAGATTGTTTTTATTGCACATAACCACAGTGTAATTATTACACTTAAAAATTAACAATAATTCTTTAATAACCAATACCCAGTCCCTATTCAAATTTCCTTGACTCCTCCCACCCCCAAATATTTCCATAGCTGGTTTACTCAAATAAGGATCCTAACAAAGTACACTTATTGTATTTGGCTGTGATGTTACTTAAGTCTTTTTAAGTTTCTTTTCATTTACAACAGTACACTTTCTTCTTTTTCTGCCACTGAGTTGCTGAAAACCTGAGTCACTTTTCCTACAGAATTCCTCCATTCTGGGTTTGTCAGGTTGCTTCCTAGTGCTGTCATTTAACTTGTTCCATTATCCCCTGCATTTATAGACTGAAGGTTATATTTAAAGTCTTTATTAGATTCAGATTCAATTTTGGCAATCACATTTTGTAGGTGATGCTTTATAGTTCATATTTCATCACATCAGCAGACCATACATTTCATGATGCCATTTTGGGGGGGGGGCTAGTTGTTACAAAGTTTAATGTTTGTTATAAGTTTAGTGTACTCTAATAATGATACAAGTATATTTCCTTTTCTGGAATTAAGAGACACACATGTCTCCAGTAAAAACATATTTTGTACCAAAAGACAAAGTAATCATAACATACTACTTTGTTCAACAATAAATGATGTTTATAAAGCCATAATAGTAATAATTTCAACAGAGTATTAATAAAATAAAAAGTTGTGATAAAGTATATTGGAAAGATAAAAGGAAGAAAAATGAAGTAATAGTGGTGGTAGGAAAAGTAAATTACCATTTAGCCTATGAGGAAGTCAAAACATAGTTTTTAAAATTAATAAATCAAAAGCTTTATCAAAAGGTCCATTGTTTGAAATACAGACGTATATAACAGATTAAAAAAAGATCAAAGTGGTTGACTTTGGGCAATGGGACTAAGAAATGGAGAAGGAAGAAATAAAGAGCTGCTGTTTAATGATGTATTTTTAAATTACGTGTTATGTATTACTTTAATAGAATTAAATGTTTAAAAACTCACATGACAGGAATTGGGAATTGAGCACAGATGAGATGGACTTGCTTTGAAACAGCATAATATATGTTTGAGATGGTGCTGTAGAAAGATAGGGAAGAGGAGAAAGAAGATAGTCTGCTGCCCCTAAACTTTGATACATTTAAATCTCTGGTCTTTTGGAGATAACGGTAGCCTCAAAATGCCCAAGAAATAACTATTATCTGGCTAGACTTTAGTTTTTTGGCTCCTCTATGGTCTTGTATACATACAGTAATATTTACTCTATCCCCATGAGGAAGCATGCCATCTTGGCAGATGTTAGCCATTGGAGAAAGTGTGTGTGTGTGTGAGTGCGCGTGCATGAATGATGGTTAGGGTTTTGGGTTTGAGGATTTGGCCTCATGCAAGCAAGGAAAAAGTAACTGGGCAGCTAGAAAAAGGGCAGATTGAGAAACACAAGCAATAATATAATAGGAAGAGACAAGAGGTAACAGGGAAGTGGAGGAAAGAGAGGTAGTAAACAGAAGGAACTTTATTGAGAAATATAAAGAGGCTGTTTGGATTATTGTCACTTTATAGTATAATCTGAAGTTTGTTCTGTTTTTTCTCAGGATTACTTTGGCTATTCAGGGTCTTTTGTGTTTTCACAAAAATCTAATGACTTTTTTTTCCAATTTCTTTAAAAAATGTCATAAGAATTTTGATGGGGATTGCATAAATCTTATATTGCTTTGGGTAGTATGACTATATTAACTATGTTGATTCTTCCAAAACACAAACATGGAATATCTTTCCGTTTCTTTGTGTCTTTTTCAGTTTCTCTTAATAATATCTTATAGTTTTCAGTGTATAGGTCCTTCAGTCTTTTGTTAATTCCTAGGTATTTTATTATTTTGTTGCAATTGAAAACAGAAGTCTTTTTTTTACATTTTTCTAAAATTTCATTGTTATTACATAGGAATGCAATGGATTTTTATACATTGATTTTGTATCCTGCAAATATACTGTATTTGTTTATTGTTTCTAACAATTTTTTTAATGGAATCTTTAGGGTTGTCCACATAAAGAATCATGTCATCTGAGAAAAGTAACAATTTCACTTCTTCATTCCCAATTTGGATGACTTTTTTTTTTTTTTCTGTTACCTGATTGCTCTGGCTAGGACTTCTAGTACTACGTTGAATAGGTTTCTCAAAAAATTAAGAAATGAGTTACCATATGACACAGAAATCCCTCTGTTTGATGCCTATCCAGAAAACTTGAAAACATTTATTTGTAAAGGTAATATATGTACCTCTATGTTCTCTGCAGCATAATTCACAGTGGCCAAGACATGGAAACAACTGAAGTGTATTTTGATATATAATTGGATAAAGAAAATATGGTACACATGTACAATGGAATACTACTCAGCCATTAGAAAAGGTGAAATACTGCCATTTGTAACAAGTATAGATCTTGAGAATGTGCTAAGCAAAATAAGTCAGATAGAAAAAGTCAAGAACCAGGCTTCTGGCCAAGATGGAGGCATAGGTAGATACACTTTGCCTCCCCTCACAACCAAAAGAAAGGACAACACAAATTTAAAAACAAAAAATACCCAGACTGCCAGAAAATTGAACTGAATGGAAGTCTGACAACCAAGGAGCTAAAGAAGAAACAGTAATCCAGATCAGTAAGAGGGGCAGAGATGGGCAACCGGGGTGGAGAGGATACGTAGCACGGTGGCAGCTGGAGGACCAGGCAGGTGAGGTGGTGGCTGGAGTTCTGGGCAGTCCCACATTTGCATGCAGAAAAACTGGTAGGAATGGCCTGGGGAGTGAGATAGACTGTGCAATTCAGGGTTCCAGTGATGGAAAAGAAAGCCTCAAAACCTCTGGCTGTAAAAGCCTGAAGGGGTTGTGGCGTGGGAGAAACTCCCAGTCTCACAGGAGAGTTCGTTGGAGAGATCAACAGGGTCCTAGAACATACACAAACCCACTCACTGGGGAATCAGCACCAGAAGGGCCCAATTTGCTTGTGGGTAGTTGGGGAAGTGACTGCCGAGAACCTAGCAAGTAGCACTGTTCTGAGACCCCTCACCCACATAGAGCATCACAATTAACTGACCTTGGTTGCCCCGCCCTGGTGAATACCTAAGGCTCTGCCCCTTACAACATAACAGGCATGCTGATACAAAGAAATCTGGCTCGAATGAAAGATTAGACCAAAGCTCCAAAAATAGACCTAAGCAATGAACAGAGAGCCAACCTATCAGATGCACAGTTCAAAACACTGGTAATCAGGATGCTCACAGAATTGGTTGAGTATGGTCACAAAATGGAGGAAAAAATGAAGTCTACACAAAGTGAAATAATGAAAAATTTACAGGGAACCAACAATAAAAGGGAGGAAATCGGGACTCAAATCAATAATTTGGAGCATATGGAAGAGAGAAATGTTCAACCAGAACAGAATGAAGAAACAAGAATTCAAAAAAATAAAAAGTAAGGAACCTCTGGGACAACATTTTTTAAAATTAATTAATTAATTATTTTCAAATACATTTGTCTCTGCCTTCCCCCACCGCTTTCCCCTGCCCTCCGCCCCCCCTCCCTCCCTCAATCCTTCCCCACTTTGTCTTTGTCCATGAGACCTTGCTATATGCTCCTTGACTTGATCCTTCCCTTCCTTTTCCCTGCCCACCCCTCCCTCCTTTCCTCTTGACTCTGTTGGTTTCTTTTTCCTTTCACTGTTGCTGGCCTTATTTTCCTTGCATCTTTTTTTTGTTGGTTAGGTTCCACTAATAGGAGAGATCATACGGTATTTCACTTTCACCCCCTGGCTTATTTCTCTTAGCATAATGCTCTCTAGTTCCATCCATGCTGTTGCGAAGTGCAAGTAGTTCTTTTATTCTTTCTGTTGCGTAGTATTTCATTGTGTAAATGTACCATAGTTTTGGGGAGCACTTTTGATTGGGGCACTTAGTCCATTTACATTGAGAGTTATTATTGATAGAAACATTTATTTTTTCTCTTTGTACCTGTGTTTTTCTCTTTCTCACTCCTTATCTTCATCTTCTTAAACCAGTCCCTTTAGCATATCTTGTAGTGCTGGTTTGGTGGAGACGTATTCTTTTAGCCTTCTTTTGTTTGGGAAACTCCGAATTTCCCCTTCTATTTTAATTGAGAGCCTTGCTGGGTAGAGCAGTTTTGGTTTTAAGCCTTTGCTTTTCATTACTTGGAATATTTCTTGCCATTCCCTTCTGGCTTGAGTGTTTCTGTTGAGAAGTCAGCTGCTAGCTGTATTGGGGCTCCCTTGTATGTTACTACCTGTTTCTCCCTTGATTCCTTTAGGATTCTCTCTTTGATAGCTGCCATTTTAAGGATGATGTGTCTTGGAGTGGGCCTCATTGGGTTCCTCTTGAATGGGACCCTCTGTGCTTCCTGGACCCATGAGACCTTTTCTCTCCTCAAATTGGGGAAATTTTCCATCATTACTTTTTCAAACAGGTTCTCTATCTCTTGCTCTTCTTTTTCTCCTTCTGGTATCCCTATTATGCGGATATGATTGCATTTCAGGTTGTCCTGCATTTCCCTAAATGCCTCTTCATTCTTTTTGAGTCTTTTTTCTATTTCTTGTTCTTTCTGGGAGCTTTTTTCTACCTTGTCCACCAGCTCACTGATTCGATCCTCTGCTTCAATCTACTCTGCTTTTGATTCCTACTACTGGGTTCTTTAACTCAGAAATGGTATTCTTCATCTCCTCTTGTCTCTTCTTGATAGTTTTTATGTCCTTTGCCAGGTTGACATAGTTTGCCGTAAGTTCCTGATAGTTTCTCTGCAGTTTCTCATAGTTCTCTTTGAGCTGGCTGAGCTCATTGAGCTTCCTTAAGAACCATTGGTTTGAATTCAATATCTGATAGTTCCCTTGCCTCTATTTCATTTAGTTCTCTCTGAGGGGATTCCTCCTTTCCCCTCATTTGGGGGGAACTTCTTTTCCTTCCCATTTTTTGTGAGTCTTTTTTTTTTTTTGGCTTCTGCTTCAATCGATCCGTCTAGATTTCCTGACTTTTGTGGATTAAACTTCTATGGTAGTAGGCGGGTCTTTTTATTTTTTTCTTTTCTTTCCTTTCTGCGTCTGCCTCTGATGATGTCAGTTGACCCTGTCTGACCTTGGGCCGTTTGTTTGAGCCTTCCAGGAATCTACTGTCTCTGTCTGTCTCCTGCAATGTGTCTGTCAATGTGGTCACTCTGCCCTCATCTGTCAGGCTTAGTCACCACAGGGCGGGGCAGTGCCTCCTGAGGGCGGGACTATCATGTCCTTATAGGCTGCTGTCACTCAGGGGAGTGGTCTGCCTGAGCAAGATGGAGACTATGGACTGGGGAAGGAGTCAGCACCGGGATCCCCCTGGCGACTACTCCCTTAGTTCTCTACCCAATGCCTCCACCTCCAGTCTCTCCTCAAGGGTCTCTAGGAAGCTCTGTGTCCCCTTTAGCTGGGGTCTACTATCTCTGCAGGCAGCTCTGCACTCAGCACCAAGGCCAGCACACAACTCCTTTTGGGGCCAGACTGTCCTGAGGGCAGGGCTATTATTTCCTTTCCTGCTGCTACCTCTTTGGGACGTGGACTGCCTGTGCAAAATGGATACTATGGAATGGGGAAGGAGTCAGCTCCAGGAATCCCAGCTACTCCTGCAGTTCTTTCCCCAACGCCTCTCTCCAGTCTCTCCTCAAGGGTCTCTGGGCAGCTCTGTGTCCCCTTTGGCCAGGGATCCTCTATTTCTTCTGATCACTCTGCACTCAGCACCCCAGCCCTTGCGCACAAGATCTGGGCGGAGCACGTAGAAGACAGGTTTATTGATTCACTTATGCCTGAGCGAGATGGTAGGGGCAGAGTGGGAGGTGAGTTATCACCAGGGCTCCACTGGCCACCGTCTCAGTTCTCTTCACAAAGTTTTCCTTACCACTCTTTCCTCAGGCACCAGCCCACTCTGCTGCCACCTCTACACAGAGATCAAGGACGGCGGCTGCCGCTGCAAATTTTTGCGTTGGCCCTTTAAATGTCTCTGCGTCTCCAGCCACCTGTCTCTAGCAGAGAGCGCCACTACGTTTTTCATGGTTGTGTTTTGTCTGTGTTTTTCTGGTTTCAGATGCTGTAGTCTAGGGATCCCTGTTTATGATTCAGACCCTGTTCTTCTCAGGGGGATCCAGGTGGTCATTTCAATGTCTCTCTGGTGCTGGTGCCCGTGGGCATCCAGCCCATCCTCTTGAGCCTCCACCAGACTTCTCACCCATTAGGATGTGTGAAAGTGGATTCCACTGTCTGTCCGCAGCTCCAAGCCTCCTCTCTCTCTATCATTCTGTTGTTTTCCAGGTGATTTCTCCACTATTTAGTCACAATTCTAGTTTGGTCTTGGGAGGAGGTCTGCGTGACTTCCATTCACTCCTCCACCATCTTCTCTCTGCCTGAATTGTCTTCTAAACAGTTTCTTATTTCAGATTAGTCTGTAACTGCATATTGCAAGGGACATGATTTAATTCATACCTCAGCAAAAATGACAGTCAGGAGAGGTTTATTAATGTGTCTCTTCTAACTTATGCTCATACTTGAATGTCACAACTCAGAGGAGAGGGAGTATATGTACTGCAGTCCAAAGATACAGAACTGGATTCTCAACTCTTCAAATCACACCTGCAAAGTCCCAGAATCTTAGCATCTTCGTGTCAAGTACAGGAAGTTATACTAGATGAAAGACATGATTAATACGTTTCACTGTGTCAACTCTGATTGATTTGTGATGGTTGTATGGACGATTGTGCTAAGAATGGTGAGGCTATATCAAGGACCCAGTAGAGGAAAAAGCAATTCAGTTCTCCTGGGACAACTTTAAATGGTCCAATATCTGTATCATATGGGTGCCAGAAGAAGAAGAGGAAGAGCAAGAAATTGAAAACTTATTTGAAAAGATAATGAAGGAGAATGTCCACAATCTGGCAAAGGATATAGACTTCCAGGAGATCCAGGAAGCTCAGAAAGTCCCAGAAAAGTTGGACCTAAGGAAACACACACCAAGGCGCATCATAATTAAGTTACCCAAGATTAAAGGCAAGGAGAGAATTTTAAAAGCAGCAAGAGAAAAGAAGACAGTTACTTACAAAGGAGTTCCCATAAGACTATCAGCTGATTTCTCAAAAGAAAACTTGTAGGCAAGAAGGGGCTGGCAAGAAGTATTAAAAGTCATGAAAAGGCAAGGTAATCTACATTCAAGATTACTCTATCCAGCAAAGCTATCATTTAGAATGGAAGAGCAGATAAAGTGCTTCCCAAATAAGGTTAAGTTAAGGAGTTCATCAACACCAAGCCCATATTATATGAAATGTTAAAGGGACTTATCTAAGAAAAAGATGAAGATCAGAAAATATGGACAGTAAAATAATAACAACCTCACAACTATCAATAACTGAACCTAAAACCAAGCAAAAACAATAACAAAAACTAAGCAAAGAACTAGAACAGGAACAGAATCACAAAAATGGAGATCAGAGGAGTGGGGGAGGAGGGTGAATGGGGGAAAAGGTACAAGGACTAAAAGCATAAATAGTAGGTACAAAATAGACAGGGGGAGGTTAAGAATAGTATAGGAAATGGAGAGAAAGGATTTTGTTGTGGCCTAAGTAATCATAGTGACAGAGGTTTGGAGGGCTAACCTCAAGAATTGCAAATACTTTATTGTGATTCCAAAAAAGAGCCCACCGTATCTCTAATGAGGCTAATAACACTATATACTTTTAACAACTATTCTCAACTCAAACCTACTTTAAAGGAAATCATGCACCTACCCTTTGAGAAGCATAAGCAGGATATGAGGATGAGCACTAATGTACTCCACAGTAGGACATCGAGTGCCTATCTGTCTTCTCAGGATGTTGTTAAATATATGGGTCACATCTTTCTTGCCCTGTTAAAGAAACAACCAACCGTTATATTGTACATTTGAAATAGGTGAACTGCATGGCATGTGACTTATATTTTAAAGGCTGTTTATATACACACACGTGCAAATACACTGTCCTTCATAATGTGAAAACATTAATTTACACTTTAGTCAGCTAAACTTTCAAACAATCAACAGAGAACCTACAAAATAGATGTAGATCCTTTCCACAGGATTTGCACTGTGGGAAATTTGGACAAATAGAAGTCTATTTTGAGCAGTGGCAACTTGCAGCTTTAGTCAGGCGAAGCCCCCAAGGGTGGTGCTCAGTGGAGAGGGGCGCTCAGCACCCTAAAGAGGTGTGTGTAGGGTGGGGTGGCCAGCTGTGACCAGATGGTACCTCCCTGGAAAACCTCCCACAAACCCATACACGCACATCCTGTTTGTGTTGCAGGCTGACTCTGCTAGAACAGAAGCAGCAAGAGGATGTGTGAGCCTTCTAACAGGCCCCTCTGGGGAGAGCAGTGGTGACAGAAAATGGCACCACTTTCTGGTCTTCCCTGCAGGGGTAAAGAGGAAAATGAGAACTAGCAAGCACTTGAGTGACAAATGCCTGGATTTAGATCGGAAGACTGTTCATTTGCCTATTGCTTCATTCATGGAAATTGCGCCACGACTGTCTGATTAAGAAAATAAAAAGAATCAGAGAAAATAGAGACCAAAATACCCCAGAATTTCTAACAGAACAAGGGAGAAGGGAGAGAGGGAAGGAGAGAGCGAAACATCAGTTGGTTGCCTCCTGTCTGCTCCTGGACCAGGGATCAAACCCACAACCCAGGTATGTGGTATGTGCCCTGACCAGGAATCAAACCTGCAACCTTTTGGTTACAACACAAGACTACAACCAACTAAGCAACACTGGCCAGGGCAGTGGACAACTTTTTAATAGCCTGAAAGAGTTCCTATAACTTTCCAACAAACTTCAGGAAAACCTCATAAGATAGTAAGTACTAAAAATGATTTCTTAAATGTTCTCTTTATACCAGAGGTTGTTCTAGACCTAAGAGGATGCAATGATAACAGACTCTCAAGAAATTTACAATCTAGAATAAGAAATATATGTGTAGAGACTTCTGATCAATATGGAAGTGTAGGTAAACACAGCATGCGTCCTGCACAACCACAGCAAAAATTACAACTATAAAACAAGTATCACTAAGAATTCTCAGAAAATTGAGCCGTATCAAAGTCTGACAACCAAGGTATTAAAGAAGCCACATTTATCCAGATTAGTAGGGGCGTGGAGACATGGAGATGTCCCAAAGGCGTAGAGATGCAGAGACACGGAAGGGGGGGTCCCACACTCAGCGTGGTGGATAAAAATCACCAAACCAGGAGTGAGTGATCCCAGCCCCACACCAGACCACTAAGCCCAGGGTTCCAGTGCCATGAAGATAAGTCCCCATAACTTCTAGCTATAAAAACATATGGGGGTTGGGGTGGTGGAAGAAACAGGAATTCTCTGGAATCTCCTATAAAGGGCCTACAACAGGATTAGGACTTATACAGACTCACTCCCTCTGGGCTTCAACAATGGGGCAGCAGCTGGAAGGGCACCACCAGTGGCATGCGGGGAGAAACTGAAGTGTCTGGAATCAGGGTGAATGCCAGGGGACAGCTTTGTCCTGGACAAAACTCCAGAGGCAAGGCTGCAGCACTACCATTTTTCTGAGTCCATCTTACACAGAGCCACAGCACACTGACACCATATCTGAGACTTAACCAACCTGGTTCACATGGGTTGCCCTGCCCTGGTGATTACCTAACCCTCTGCCCCAACCAACTTATTGGCTATCTTTGTCTCCTCATTTGGCAGCCTCCCTGTGTTTGCTTCTATGTATTAGGTAGAGCTGCTTTGACTCCCTGTCTTAGAGTGGCTGATTGTAGATAAGCACAATAGTAAGCTGAATGGGGCAGAACCTTAGGTAATCACCAGGGCAGGGCATCCCATGTGAACCAGGTTGATAGTCTCAGGTATGGTGTCATGCTCTGTGTGGAAGAGGGCTCAGAAAAGGGACAATGGCTACTGCCTGACTTCAAGTGTTTTGTCCAGGAGGAAGCTGTCCCCCAGCACTTGCCCTGATGCCAGGCACTTTAATTTTTCTTTGTATGCCACCGGTGCCCTTCCAGTTGCTGCCCAGGTGCTGGAGCCCAGAAGGAGTGAGTCTGTGTTAATTCTAAGTCTGTTGCAGGCCCTTTAAGAAGAGAAGCCTGAATAATCCACAGTTTCTCTCCCTCTCCCAAACCCCATACGTTTCTACAGCTAGAAGTTATGGGGACTTTTCTTCAATGGCACTGGAACCCTGGGCGTAGTGGTCTGGTGTGCCGCTAGGGTCCTTTGCTCCTGAGGTATCCCTCCCGATTTTTATGTATCACATGTGGTTGTGGGACTGATCACTCTGTGTCTCCGCATCTGCTCCTCCTACCCATCCGGATGGATGTGATTGCTTTAATTCCTTGGTTGTCAGACTTCCAAACAGCTCGATTTTCTGATGATTTGGGTGGTAGTTGTTTTGTAGTTTAGTTGTAATTTTTGCTGTGGTTGTGTCAGGAGGTGAGCTGTGTTTACCTACCACCTGTCTTGTGATTTCCTGAGTCAGGCTCCTGGGGGCACATTGAACCTAGCCTTGGAGGCCTTTCCCTTTTCTCTATCAGAAACTGGGGTAAGACCGATGTCAGTGTCTTGCACACATGTAGGTTGTCATGAGGCTGTAGGGGTGCAGGTGGCTGTGTGGAGGCCAGACTGGTGTGAGCTAGTTGGTTCTCAATTTTTCATTAATGTTTCATAGTTTACAATGTACAGATCTTTCACTTCCATGGTTAAATTTATTCCCAAGTATTTCTTTTTTATGCTATTATGAGATTAATTTTTTCTAATAATTCATTGTTAGTGTATAGAAATTCAACAGTGATTTCTGTATTTGATTTTTGTATCTGCAAATTTACTAAATTTGTTTATTCTAACAATTTTTGGTGGAGTCTTTAGGATTGACTGTATACAATATCATGTCATCTGCAAATAGAAATATTTACTTCTTCCTTTTTTATTTGGGTGCCATTTATTTGTATATTCATTTCACTAATTGTTCTGGCTAGGACTTTCAGTAGTATGTTGAATACAAGGGGCAAGAATAGGCATCCTGGTCTTGTACCTGATCTTGAAGTTTTTGCCTTTTCTACTGAGTATAATGTTAGCTGTGGGGTTGTCATATATAGCCTTTATTACAGTAAGGCACGTTTCTTCCATACACAATCAGTTCAGAATTTTTATCAGGAAAGGATGTTGAATTTTGCCAAATGCTTTTTCTACATATATTGAGATGATCACATAATTTTTATACTTCATTTTGTCAATGTGGTGTTATCACACTGATTGATTGGCAGATGTTGAAACATCCTTGTATCTCTGGACTAAATCCCACTTGATATTGGTGTCTGATCCTTTTAATGTAATGTTAAATTTTGTTTGTTAATATTTTGTCAAGGGTTTCTGCATAAATGTTCATTAGCAATTTGGCCTGTAATTTTCTGTTCCTGTAGTGTCTTTGTCTGGCTTCTGTATCAGAGTTATGCTGGCTTCATGAAATTAGGTTGGAAGTATTCCTTCTTATATTTTTGGAAGAGTTTGAGAAGTAGTGGTGTTAATTCTCCTTTAAATTAATGCTTGGCAAAATTCACCTGTAAAACCACCTGGTCCTGTGTTTTTTGTGTTGGAAGGTTTTTCATTACTGATTCAATATCCTTGCTTGTTATTGGTGTGTTCAGATTTCCTATTTCTTCAAAATTCAGTCTCAGTAGCTTGTATGTTTCTAGGAATTTACCCAGTTTTCAATTGTCCAATGTGTTGGTGTTTAATTGTTCATAGCTTGTTCATAGCAGTTTCTTAAGATCCTTAGTACATCTATATTACTAGCTGTTATGTCTCCACTTTCATTTTTTACTATACTTGTTTTCTCTCTCTTTTTTGTCTCACTAAAGGTTTGTTAATTTTAGGTTTTCAAAAAGTCAGCTCTTAGTTTCATTTTTTCCATTACCTTTCTAGTCTCTATTTCATTCATTTCTGATCTTTGTTACTTTATTCCTTTTAATAACAAGGGCTTAGTTTGTTCTTTATCCAGTTGAGGTGTAAAGTAAGGTTATTTTAGATCTTTTGTTCTTAATGCAGACATTCCCTATTAGAAGTATTTTTTCTGCATCCTGTAAGTTTTGGTTTGTTGTATTTCCATTTTCATTTGACTCCTATTTCTTATTACTGTTTTGATTTCTTCTTGGCAAATTGGTTGTTCAGGAGCATATGGTTTAATCTCATATTTTTGAATTTTCTAGTTTTCCTCTTACAATTGATTTCTAGGTCATACCATTGTGGTTGGAAAAGACACCTGATATGATTTCAATCATCTTAAATTTTTTATTATTTTTTATTTATTTTTTTAAATTAATTTATTTACGTTTTAAATACATTTGTCTCTGCCTTCCCCCCACCTCTTTCCCTTGCCCCCTCCCACCTTCCCTCCCTCAGCTCTTCCCCTTTGGTTTTGTCCATGAGTCCTTGCTATATGTTCCTTGACTTTCCCCTTCCCTTCCCTTTCCCTGCCCCCCCCTTCCCTCTTGTCTCTGTTGATTTCTTTTCCTTTCAGTGTTGCTGGTCATATTTTCCTTGCTTCTTGCATTGTTGGTTAGGTTCCGCTTATAGGTGAGATCATATGGTATTTGTCTTTCGCCCCCTGGCTTATTTCGCTTAGCATGATGCTCTCCAGTTCCATCCATGCTGTCGCAAAGTTTAGTACTTCTTTTTTTCTTTCTGCTGCGTAGTATTCCATTGTGTATATGTACCATTATTTTTTGATCCAGTCATCTACTGACGGGCATTTAGGTTGCTTCCAACACTTGGCTATTGTAAATTGTGCTGCTATGAACATTGGGGTGCATAGGTTCTTTTGTATTGGCGTTTTGGTGTTCTCAGG